TACATGTCACGCGACATTACCAAACATACCTTTTCCCATGTTGATCAGGTTACTCGTATGTTGCCAAAAAAATAGATTTTATTTATCTGTTGAACATGTTTAAAACACCAATTTCAAGGAGAGAGAAAAAAAAATGTCCAGAAATGCAGGCAGCATTTTGAACTTGCTTCACTTGATTTGATAGGAGACGGAAAAGTTGGTTGCTTTTACCCTGGGATTTGTATCACACCAAGTAGCAGATGTGACATGGCACAGTCTTGGCATTGATCAAGGATTCCTCACCACAATGGGAGATGTTAACTTCTTTGGAAAAAAACCAGCAGCTCATAATGTTGGGGACATTGGTGGAGATATGGTTGCATCATTTGAAGGAGACACAAGGAATATAACTGCTAGCATTAATAAGTGGTAGGCAACATTATTTTGAAAAAAAAAAAATTTGGAGCAGCGTTTTCAACCTTTAACCCTTTGATTCCCAAAAGTGACCAGCATAAAAAAACTCCTCACAATATCACCCCCTGAATCATAAATTAAGTTCATAAGAATAAAGGAAAAAAAAACCAGCTAAAATAAATTAAGTTCATAAGAATAAAGGAAATGATCACAGGCTAAAGAAAAAAATGATTTTTAAACAAATTCTCCTTATCAGCACCTTAGGAAATGTATAGGGAATAAAAAAAAAAACATGCATACTGATGTTTAGTGTGAAGAGTTAAAGAAATACACTTGAAATACCTTGTGAGCCTCACTCATTGGCTTTGCTCACTCGCAAAATATATTTCAACACTTTCAACACTCAAAGAGAAATTTAGTATTTTCCATGTGGCCATGTTATAACAAGGTTGTGCCCTAAGAAAAACTGAAGGGAGCCCAGCGCTCTGAAACTTTGAAATACAGGGTGCCCAGCATATATTTTTATAAAAAAAAACTAAAATTCCCAAGTCACTCAAGAGCAAAAGTAAGGTGCCAGGGGCCACTGGATGCTGCCAGACTACGGCCCTGTATATCCTCTATATATTTTTTATATCAGGTATGTTCCAAAAAAAAATTTGGAAGATATTTATCTTGAATATTATGGGGAGAAAAAAATTAACAAAGACGAGATCGAACTCTGCACAGCCCTCCTTCTGCTTGGTTGGATTGGAGAGCACTTTGGTGGAGCTAAGTTGTTTTCTAAGTATTCAAAGACTTCTCCCTTTTTAATGGAGAACCTGCACTCATATTTCCAAGGTGGGTTAGTGCTTGTATTTTATTTTAAGTTAGCTATAAGATATTTATCCTCAGACTGCTAGAGGGCCTTTTTACATGTCAAAAAGCCTTAGCAGTGTTTCTTGTGGAGAGAACAAAAAAAAAATAAAATCCCAGTAAAAGTGACGTTTGTGAAGTGAAACTTAAGTTAACGTTAAAAAAAAAAGTATGTCTGATAAGCTGAATTACAGACTCAGACCGAGTGAATCAAAATATCTCGTGTATTTTGATTGATTCTTAGTGACAGTATTATCTAGAGGACAGGCGCATAATATAGATTGATTTCTAGTGCATTTCCATGTAAATGCTCTAATGTGCTTTACAACACTGTGTGGGGGACTTTGCCAGACTGCCGGCAGCAGTTTACAATTAATAAAGGAGAAATTTTTACAGATGCCCCCTCAAAAAAATCCCAGTAAACAGGCCAGACCACATCACAGTAATCTCGTGATGTGGGTTCTTTAAAAAAA